CAAGCTCCGCTCCCAAATGGAGGTGACCCTGGGGGTGACCCTGTGCCGGTCACGTCGCCTCGTGCAGCCTTACTTACCCCCCCGGCAAAGGGGATGCGGCAGTGTGTAGGGCCGTGGAGGGTCTGGGATGCCAGCACTGCTGCAGAGATGCTCAGCCCCATGGCTATCATGCGAGTAGCCCCCGTGGCCCTCGGCTGCCTCCAAATCTGGACGGGTACTATGGTTGAAGTATCTGCATGGTTGAAGGCAAACGCAATGAAAACTCTTACACTGCAAGCAGGTTAGGGGAAAACCTGGGGAAATGACCCCTCCCCCCCCCGGAGTTTTATTTCTCCTTGGCTCTGGTTATACACAAGTGCCTTCTATGGGGATAGCGATGGTCTGTTCTTCACCGGTGTGCTGCTCCCGCTAGATTGCTGCTGATTTGTAACGTACGAGTGAACGGCTGTTATCACTTGTTTGCCTTCTGTTTGTTTACACTGTCCCAAACCCCAAAATATTACAGAGATTTATAAAATTAACTGAAGGAAAAAAAAAAAAAAAAAAAAAAAAAAACCAAACCCAAAAGCCGTGAGAGCTCATCTGGTTTCAATCAGCTCAGCGCCCTGGAAATCTGTTTACCCCAGCTGAGAGTCCAAGGGCTGCTGCTTCTACCCCCAGGTGACCAGGTAGTCCCAAGTGTCTAATGCAAAAATACGCGGCAGTGAATCGGGGGTCTGGTGAGCATGTGAGATGAGGAAAGAAGTGGAAATCAGGGCAGGCTGGGCTCCGTTTACTAGAACTGGCTGAAAACAAAAGGCAAAAATATGGCACTTTGAAGTGCTTGCGTCTTGCTCCCGTCACTGGAGCGGAGGAAGAGCACAGTTCTCATTGGCAATTAAATACTTTGCAGTTCAATACTTTGATCGGATCCCATTTTATTCTCTCCTCCCGTGTTCTGCTTCCTGGCTGTGCAGCCACGGATGGTGGGAAACTCCTCTTGCTTCGCCCCCTGAGAGGAGTGACAATTTGGCCTTTAAAGATCTGAGATGTAATGAAAACTGATTGCTTGGACGCGTGGATTTCTAAGGCAGGGGCTCAGCAGCTCAAGGGTTAATGCTCTCCCTCACTTTCAGCCCAGACATTGATATAAGGGCTTATCTACAAGGGGAAGCTTGTTCTTATTAAGGTAGGAGCTGCAGATGAGGGTACAACAGCTCCTCCTACTCTGCCCCTGTAGCCCTGGCTTTTCATACCTGGCTGGGGCAAACACCGAAGAAGGAGGCACAGCTTCTATAGGAGAACTCTGCTGTGTGGAGAACACCTCCCAAGGCTTATAAAACATCTCCTGGGATACCTGAATACTTTCGCAAAAGACTTCCCCCAGGGGAAGGGCCAAAGGTGCAGAGTTCCCGGTACACACCTCACCCAAGAAACATTACACTTGTGGGGGGAGGGTTGGAATTAAGCCGTGCCTGATCCAGCAAAGCACCCAAGCGAGGTTGATGGAAATCACGGGAGGTGTGCCTTTTCTTTCAAAAAGACTATTAACACGCTTATGGTTAATCACACGAATAAATCTCATGGTGGCTTAGAGCCAAAGCGAGCAATAAAAGCACCGATCCCCAGGCCTCCCGATGGGAATTGGCTAGGGACGGGGCCGATGTTCTCACCAAGTCGCTGGGAAGTAATCCACACCCTCAGCACGTACGCGCCTGGGGACTTTTGCTAGGGTTCCCCCCTCCCCTCAAAAAGCTGTTATCTAGGTGCAACCATGAAACTATCTGCCCGTGCCAGCTGGGATGGCAAACCGAGCGTCCAGAGGACATGGATGAAGAGTTGATCTGAGCTGCTTTTTCTCAGCAGTGGTTGCGGGAGCTCTGGAGGGTAGTGGGAGGGGAGGGAGAGCCCCAGTCCTGTCCTCAGGTCTCCTTTCGGGGGCTTGAGTGTGTCAAGAATTAGATATCTAAAGGAACTTGCTTTTCAAGGAGGGGAAGACCTTGGACCTCAAGCCCTGCCAAGTGTAGGAAGGCATTTAGAGAGACGACTCGGTGTGCCTGATGCGAAAGGGACTTGTGGGAGCATGTGAGTTTTTCATTGACTTTTATTTTGTATGAACAAGAAATCCGTACTAAGTATGCATATGTCTGAGGGAGACAGACAGGCTTTTTTCTGATGAAACATCCCAGGGATCTGAGCTATGGCTCCATCTCATGTCCCAGGTTTCAGCTGAACATGGTGGGAGACGAGGGCACTCAGGGCAGGCTGTAAAATTCATTTGAAGAGACCTCATAATATGGATCGACACCGCCTGAAGCAGCTACCCTGCCTCTCTCCTTCTCTGAGTGGTCTCCCGGCCCCTGCACGTACCATCAGGCACCAACTTAGGCCGTTCAACTTCAAAAAAGTCTTTTAAAAGTCAAGCCGTTGTCTTCTTTTAGGGCAGAAATTAGCAAAACCAGTAAGGACAAGCACGTGTGTCCCGGCCTACGCAGCAGGGAGAGGGGGTCCCGGCGGCCAGGCCAGCGAAATGCAGGGGAGCCATTTCCCCGGTGCTTTGGAGACTTGGTTGCCTTCTTACTCTTCTCCCCGGCTCCAAACTTCGAGGAGGTTTGGTGAGGGCTCGGGGGCTGTGCGCAGTGAGTCTGTCCTGCTGCCGCCCTCCCGAGAAGGCTGCAGAAGGTTACTGGTAAGGTTACTGGTAGCCCTTCGCAGTGTCCTCACCCGCACCCATCCGAATTTCCACACGTCTGCAGGGTCTAGATCAGCTCCTTGTGAATCATTTTAATCTGGCACAAAGCAGCAGCTTGCCGAAGCCTGATGTAAAACACCCACATACATTCCCATTATATAATATGAATGTAAGAAGATTAAATTATCCGGTCTGAGGAAACACATGCACCTATGTATGTACACATTCATACACAGTCTGGAGGTTGGCTGAGTGGAGCTGAGGGCAAAGCTTCGCTTCTAAAACACTGAACTTGCACTTGTTAGCACTTAAAACACCGGGGCAAATAATGTGTATATGCCCGTGCATAGACCTGTATATGAAACGCTGCAGCAGCTCTATGCTCTGCATTTGAGGGTGATGCACGGTAACTGCGGGCAGCGTTGGTAGTTGTGTGTTTGGTTATCCACTTTGCTGGCAAAATCTGAGCGGCGCCATGGAGCAACAGGTGGAACAAACCCGGTCCCCACGCTAAACTTTCCCCACCAGCGTACGGCAAGGTGAGAAAAGAGAGGGGAAAGCAGTCTCCAAAACCACTGAGAATCTCTCCGCAGCCTTGGTGGGCCCGGCCCATCCTCTCCCCGAGAGCAGTGCCCAGTGGGCACCCACGCTGGGCCACAGCCCGTGGTCCTCAGGATACTGCCTGAGCACCACCAGCAAACGGATTCGCCTCCTTCTCCTCCCGCGCCTTCCCGCTATCGATTCACACCGCTTTGCTAAATATAGCTCGGCCTCGTGAAACCTCTCACTCCGCTTTTACCCCAGCTAGAGGTGCCGGGCACGGAAGGTGCTCAGAAGGGCAGGGCTGGGTGGCCGTTGTCACCTCTCCGGGCCGTGACCGTGTGCCGGAGCCCTCCCCCGGTGGCGGCGGCGGGCCGGCTCACGCTCGGGCTTAGCCCCCAGCCT